CTCCTATGTAGATAGAAATGGTTCATTCTAAGCTAAAGAAAAAGCAAGGATTCTTATTTTCTGGTGATTACACATTAATGAAAACATTATTATGCATCTGACACACTGCACCTTTAGCTACAGTGTTTGGCCATACAATCAATCCAAACCAACTCATTGAGCTGAAAAACAAAAAGTGAGATACAAAGAATTTTCTGAGGGATTAAAATGACTGTAGTAATACCAAGAGAGAGGAAAATGGCCTTAGTGTTTGTTCAACATCACGGTCATGTTCTAAAACTAAAAGTTAGTTTGATTTTAAAGCTGTGCTGATTCATTCAGATTCACAAGAAGCAGATACTGAATCAAAGAGAACTTACTTAGAAACATGCAATTAATAATTGATCTACTTTGTGAACAGTTGTGTTGTTGAACATACCCCGTGCAGCCCCCGTCGACCCTTGATGTTACATTAAAGGCATGTAAGCATGCAGTGCATACAGTACACGGTGTACATGGGAAGGTGACATATGCATGCACCTACACACACACAGATACACTCAAAAGGATCAATGTGGACAAGTACATGGTCAGAAACACAGTTACATACTGTATGTTTACAGGATTTCGAGAACCTTTTAATAAGCATCAGGTATTGCTAGATTTGGCCACCTCTGAAGTTTCTTCACGAGTACACCGGTACTTAAACGTGTACCATTCAAAGTCTATAATGCACCTCACGGTAGCCTTATAAGAAGGTGCAACACACATATCAAAAAGTATAGTCTGAAAGGGTTTTAATAGAGACTTTGACTCTCCCATAGTGGTCTGAATACATAGCAGAGGCCTCCATACTCTGGCAAGAGTGAAATTGTTAGAGAGGCATTGGATCTTGAAGACGTACTCCCGTTAAATCTGCACAATTTTTTGGACTGGTACTTCTTTCAGTCCAGTACAGGAGTAGGAGAATCATTTAAACTAGCAGAAATGCCTTGGAAAAGCTACCAGAACTTCCCAGACCTGGTATTTTACAGTGTTACCTCCAACCCTTCCTTCATACTACATAACTTACCAAACACAAAACCAGGTGACGCTTTATGTACCCAGGCTGGAGCTTATCTTAGCATTTGATCAACTTAAATATAACATAGCCTAACTGTGACTCTGATGTCCTTTCCTGTTTGAACATACAGTACCACACAGGCAGTGGTGTGCACAGACTGTCTAAGGGGCTGGGGCGCCACCACTGTGAGCAGGGTTAAGATCAGCACAGAGTGGTGCTTGGAAAGATAATTCAGTGGAGTTAAACAAGGTACTTCTCTTGGTTTAAAGAAGGCATACAACAAGTTGTCATCCTGAACATAAGGGCAGTGATGGTCACGCCCCATGACCCTCCTCATCCTTGTGCACACCACTGGATACACGTAATATTCAAAATTCAGGGTGCAGTTCCTCACACTTGCACTCGATTAGTCTTTCTTTGTGTTTTGACTGTTGCATATTTTTGTCTCTCCTTGTGTTTGTTTGTTTGATCCAGAGGCGAAGCAGAGGCCTTATTATGCGGACTACTCTCCCTTGCGTCTGTCCATCCACACACTGTGCACCAGCCACTACCTGGACCTCTTTATCACCTTCATCATCTGCATCAACGTCTTCACCATGAGCATTGAGCACTACGACCAGCCACAGGTAGCGTGCACACACACACACACACACAATAACATTGGTCTTCTAGAGCCGTATTACCACCTTAACCTCCTTGGCTGTTGATGTTGCTGTTTGCATTCGGCAGACAAGTTTTTTTTGTGACACATTTTTAAAAATAAAATAGAAAGATACCACAAACTTCCTAACTTTATTTTACGCTACAGCTCTTATTTCTCCATTTCTTAAGCAGTTTAATAAGCATGTAGTCTGCTGGGTGTTTACAAAATGAGTGTTTGTCTGTGTGTTCAGTATTTAGAAGACGTTTTGAAGTACTGTAACTACGTGTTTACGATCATCTTCGTCATCGAGGCCCTGCTCAAACTTATGGCATTCGGGATACAGAGGTTCTTCAAAGACAGGTAACACAGTGAGATAAATGTTTGTTATTGCAGGATGTACACACCGCTGTAAAACTGAATAGTTATTATTCATTGACTATATGTCATCATTTCCTAATTGCAATATACAGTGTTGTGTAAACTACTAATTCTGGCTCCATGAATACATGTACAGCTCTCTGATTTTATGCCTATGTGCATGCTTGTTGTTGGTGCTCTGAGTTCAAGGGATTTATTGGTGAGTTTATTCATTTGTCTCTGGGTTCCCTGCTGGAGCTTTATCGCAGGTAAACCATGTGTTTCCCTGCCTTAGAGATTAGTGGCTGGGCTACCCACTGATCTAAACAGCCAGATAGCACCATGTCTGCCATTCCTATACTGCAGTTCTTTTTTTTAAGCTAACTCATAGTTACATTTACAGAGAAATGCTGTTTATTTTATTACCCCCATCCATGAAATTACCATCATCACTTGATATCACCCACTAGTGTCAGAACTCTGAGTTAATGAAGAGTTGTTCATTACAGGTTTTTATATGTACTCTGCATTGCTAGACTCGAGTAACACCAGGTAATTTGTTTGTTTTATATTCAGCTAAAATACAATATTTTTCATGTATGTTTAGATGGAATCAGCTGGATGTAGCTATAGTGGCATTGTCTATCATGGGCATCACCCTCGAGGAGCTGAAAATGAATGCAGCACTGCCCATAAACCCCACCATCATCAGAATCATGAGAGTACTCAGAATAGCACGAGGTAGACACACACACACACACACACTGAATCTGTATCTGATTAGCTTGTATACAATCACAAAACACACGTTAGCCTGGTATTGTGCTGTGCCGTTGTAAATTCTGCAGCACACGGGCCAACTGAAACCAGCTAGCTGTTTATCTCTCTGCAGTGTTAAAACTTCTGAAGATGGCCACAGGGATGAGAGCTCTGCTGGATACTGTCATGCAAGCGCTGCCACAGGTAAACATACAGCCTGCAGGGTCTTGAACACCAAAAAGTGATTTTATTTTTATTTTATGAATATAGGCGTCATTGTGGAACTTTTCTTCTGAACAGATAGCCCTAGTCTGTAAAACACAGTAAAATTAGATGGTGCAGCTGCACGCATGAACGATTCAAGGAAATCAGTTAATTGATCAATTCAAACAGATGCTCAGTCACAACATTTTTGTGTGGATTAGATCTTAACTCATGAGCTGTGCTGTCTTTTAAACAGTTTTTAACAGTGTAGTCCTTTTAAAGAATGACTATGTCCGAGTATCTCGGGACTCTCTCCTGTTTCCTGTCACAATTCTTAATGTCAAAGAGCAGCTCCACCAATGATTATGAGGCACATTTAGTGGCTGATGCCATTGTTCTGCTAGTTTCTAAATGTCAAGTGTTCAGATATAACCATCAGGGCACAGAGTGCACAAGAGCAGATTTAAGGAGGTGGATGAAAGCCAACATGCTGGGAAGCTTCTGACTGTGTGATGCACAGTTCACAGGGTCTGCATCCAGTCCTTCATGATGACTGGTTTTTATAGCACTCGAGGTTCACCATCAGTGTCCTGAGCTGCAAGTGTGTGCCAGTAATTTAGACTTTCAAAGCTCTCAGTGATTTCTCACTGGCAGAAATGCAGAAAACGTGTCTGCCTTTAAAACATTTTAAAATCTATTTCACTAATTGTTTTCAGTTAATCAGGTTAGTTTTCCAGTGTAACAATAAAGGTGCACTTAAGCTTTGAATATCCCTCTTAGCAAGCAACCCTGCCCCAAAATGCCCAGTATGCACCATGCTGAGCATAAACAGGAGCAGCTCTCAACGTGTGACCTAATGTTATTAGTATAAGGACCGAGTTTAAGATAATACCTGGTTTATTACCAGGTATATTTACAGTGTATCTAGTTCATTAAGAAGCAAGACACTTTTATAAAGATGTCCATTTCATTTGTGTTGTGTGATTAATGAGTGGCAAAAGGTAATAAAGACATTAAGGTAATGAAATAAATCCTAATGACTACTATTCCATGAAGTTTCATATGGTTTCATGTGCAGAATGATTTTACATGTATTTTGCTTCCAGGTGGGGAATCTTGGTCTCCTCTTCATGCTTCTTTTCTTCATCTACGCTGCACTGGGAGTGGAGCTCTTTGGCAAACTGGGTCAGTACACACACATACACCACAGACTACACGCTTCAGCTGTAAAGGTTCTTGAATCCACTCATTACTAGCACAGTCAGTTTTCATGCCTTAACTGTCTCTGTTGAATCCTCGCTCTCGACCCCAATCTGTCTTCATGTGTCTTTCTCTGCCATTCTCACATCACAGGCCCGTTTCTAACATGCAAACATTATATTTGCATGATCACATTTATTTACATATTGCTTCATCCAAGTCATTTTGTATGAGATTGCAACAAAGGATTAGCAAAAAGGCATCTGGGATGAGTTGAAAACAGCTTCATGGTGAAGGGGCTGCTTTCTGTGAATGTTTTTATGAGCCTGTTCCTCACACGGGGTAAATTAAGGGACGTCTTGTTTTTTTTTTAATTTCATAGAGTGAAAATCCCTCTTCATTTATTGCTATGATTTGGGGTTTTTTTCATAGCTGCTGACAAAAGCTTTGGATGTGTTGAACGCCTTCTTTTCACTCTGTGTGGCTTGTTTTAAAGGCTGTTTTAAGGCTTGCGAAGCTGAGGGAGTGAACTCTATTTTGGTACAGGCTTGTGGTGGAGAATATTGCAGTACAACTTGGTGAGGATCAGGAAACACTGTTACTTTGCATCTTGCATACTTGCACAGTCATGTTCATGACCATCATTGCTGTCATCACTGGTGGTTACAGTGTCAGGGCTTTCTTCTGGCTCCTTGTCTTATTATGGACATTTTGAAGCCTCTGTAGGTTTCTGGGAATTTGCAGCGATGACCACCTACTGAATTTTACACTAAACAATGTCACAACAACATCCCAAACATGTCTCTTTGCTGCTCTTTATGCTGTATATTTCCTGTGAAAGGTTTTCAGAAGGGAACTTTTTCCATCAGAGGGCTGATGTCTGTAATCATTTGTGAGGTGACAGGGAATATAAAGCAAGGAGCTATAAAGTAATAAAGGCCTGTACTTGTAAGAGCATTTTGGGGGTTAGTGTGGTACAGCAGTGCACTTAAGTGTTTTGATAAAGCTTCATCCTGCTTTCAGTCCTCACAAGGTTTTAAAATCAGAACAAATAGATTTTTTAACAAAACCACCTGACTTCAAACAAAGACAGCGTGAGATTTGAAATTCCATCGGGAAACCCAGGACGTGGGTGATCCTGTGTGTTGGCGCTCTGCGAGCCTTGGCTCTTTTCCGGTCTGCCTTAGGCTGAACAGATGAGAATAGAGCATAAGCGAGAAATATAGGATGGAGATGGGAAGAGGATGGAACCAGGGTTTGAGTGATAATACTGACATTTTTAGGTTCAAGCTGCTGATATTGAAAATCTTTCATTTGAAATCTGAATTTAAATCTAATTAATGTCCAGATAAATCCCAATTTCCACTGCTTTCCTTTTGCTGCTGGGCCATGACTCAGACTCAGGGAGAGGATTCTATTTTTACCTACCGGAGGAGCTGCTGTTACAGTTTTAGCTTTACAATTAAATGCTTAATCGCACTGGTTTTATTTGGTTGGTTGGTTATATTTTGTATAACCCAGTTTTTATTTGTTGTACCTTGATTTTGTCTCATCATTTCTTTCAGACATGCTGTAGTTCAATCCTACATTAAAAGAGCATTATAAGTAAATTTGATTTTGTTTATTTTTATTGAAAGGTGCCCTGCTCATTTCCTCCCAGTGACTGGTCCTAGACTAAGAAACAAGTTAGTCAATTCTCCAAGGAGTCTGGCTTCCTGTTAATGTGACCTAGGATTCAACACAAAGGAAGATATAATCTGGTGGCTTCCTCTCAAATTGACCCTGACACTGATAGAGATTTACTCTGTCCTCCAGAAGACGGTTGTCTGCTCTGCTCCACAGGGACACACCCCTTAGCACCTCATCTGTTTCTGTGTTCACAGGCTCACTCTGTTCCTGGTATTTTTACTTTTATCCACATCTGCAGTGCAGTGAAATTAATGTCTATATTTGTATATTTGTGTGTTATTAGAGTGCAATGATGACAACCCGTGTGATGGCCTGAGTCGTCACGCAACCTTTCAGCATTTCGGGATGGCCTTCCTCACGCTGTTTCGAGTGTCCACTGGGGACAACTGGAATGGGATAATGAAAGTATGAACACACTTTTATCTTTGTGAGGACACGCAATGACATAATGCCTTTCCTAGCCCTTTACCCTATCCTTAACCATCAACTAAGTGCTTAACCCTAACTTTAACCCCCCTACCCCCCTCTATGCCTGGTGGGGGTCTGCCAGTGCCCAAGAGTGTTCTGGACCATTTTAACCTTCCCCAAAACCATCAAATGCACAAGCAACCCAGCAGACACAAGCATTCCTTATCCTTATGCTTCCATTTGTAGGTTGTGAGGGCAGGTACCTGCTAGTGAAACACACTGTATATTTGCCATTTTCTTCAACATTTTCCTCTAAATCCACCCTTCTAAATTTGTTAATGAGTTTAAATTATCATGTTTAGTCAAGATTTTGTAATGTCACCTCTGCCCTGCAGGATAGACAGTTGTTCAGTTTCCTGTAATAACTGGTCATCTCTGTGTACCACTCTTTCTCCTTCTGGACTTTGTTTCCCTGGCCCCCATTTCTCTTTTTTGTTTTCTATCCCTCTTTGCTGCCTAATCTTTCCCCTTGTCTACTAAGGATACATTAAGGGAGTGTCGTCAAGGTGACAACAACTGTCTTTCCTATCTGCCCTGGGTCTCTCCAATATACTTTGTCACCTTTGTGCTCATGGCCCAATTTGTGCTGGTCAATGTGGTGGTGGCTGTTCTGATGAAGCATCTAGAAGAAAGCAACAAGGTAAAGTACCTAAAAATGCTGAGGGTGCACAGATGCAGACATATTTAGGTGTGCTGGGAAAATGTGAACCTGCCTTGTCTCATGGCATGCAGGTAGCAGTTACTGTATCGTTACAATTTTGCCTCTTTTGGACTGAAATTGAGTGTTTTTTTCATCATTTATTGTAAAAATTAATTATTCAGTAATATTACATTTATTTTTGCAGGATGCCAAAGAGGATGCAGAGATGGATGCAGAGATTGCCCTGGAAATGGCTGAGGAGAGACAACACAGATTAAGCACAAGCTCCACCAACAGCTCAGAGGATGGAACCTATATTGGGCCATGTCCACATTCACCTGGACAGGTAGGAAGATCCTTACCTTGCTCACTGGTCAGTCATGAAGCTTGTATGACCCTGAAACTACAATGAAAGTCTAAGTATGGGTGAAATGGAAAAAAAATCATGTGTACATGATTCTGAATACATCCTTTCATTTAAATAATTTATTGTAAAACTGTGTGTACTGCAGAATGTAGTGTTACTAGATATAACAGGATGTAGAGAGCAAGTCAGCATTTGAGCTGTATGGTCTCTGTCTCCCCCTGCAGGAGGAACAGAAGCAGTGTGAAGACCAGGACCTGCTGTCATCTAGTAAGATGTCTGTATCCAGGGTGCACTCTCTGCCTAACGATAGCTACATGTTCCGGCCTGTACGGCCCGCCAGCGCCCCCTATCCTCTGGAGGAGGTGGATGTCAGTCCCCAGCACCAGCATTCAGGTAACATATCTGTTTAGTATTTAAATATTAAATATGATTTTACAATGTCTTTGGCAACATGAAGTTTTGGTGCTCTGTCTTTGTGACAGTCTTCTAACAGACACAGCTACTAACCATGAAACTAAACATTGTTCCATGATACATGTCTCTGGCACCAAACTAAAATCATTTCTTTAAAGGTGCAGTTTGTAACATCTAGAAGGATTTATTAGCACAAATTGGCTATAGTATGTATAGTTATGTTTTCATTAATGTGCAATCACCAGAAAATAAGAATCGTGGCATTTTCTTTATCTTAGAAGGAGCCTTTTATATCTACACAGGAGCGGGTCTCCTGTCATTGAGGCAGCCATGTTTTTTACAGTAGCCCAGAAGGGACAAACCACACACTGGCATGATTTTCGTGTTGAAGTAGCAGCTTTGATTTGGAGACCGTTGGAAGATGAAGAAAAAGTAACATTAGAAACAAGAGGAAGCATTGTTGTGAGTTTAAGAGCTATAATTTGGTAAATAGATCATAAACTTTAACACAAGAAAAGGGAAGACAGTGTGAATCCCCGTCATCAAAAAAGCAAAGACACGAAGAAACAGGATAACATTAACTGCGGTCAAGTGAGCCGTCGATTGCAAAAACCTGGTCAAGCCAGCTGCTGTTTGACTTTTGTTGCACTTCTTTTCATGTAATTATGGTATGAGTGCTTGGAGCAATATGTAATTATGGTATGAGTGCTTGGAGCGATGTTTAAAGACTGGCTGAGTGTTTACTAATAAACCTAATGAATAAAATGCTATTATTCCACATCTTAATGTGTATTCAGCCAGTCAGGTGAGCTGCTGTTAGCTTTTGCTTGGTCACGTGAGCTGCTCTTGTTTTCTGAGTGCACAATTTGTCCTATATTTACAGTAATTGCTGTGAAACAGCTGTTAGGGCTTATGGAAGCTTTGCTGAATGTTCCACTCTGCAACCTCACCACTAGATGTCAGTAGATCTCACATCCTGCACCTTTAAAGCAAAGCCAGCTAACTGAAAAGAGGGGCTGTAGCAGCAGTATGTTAGCTTGTTTGGACTCTTTTATCCCCTTTGACTCTAGTTGAGATTTTCAATGTGAAATGTATTTTAGAGTACTGAAATATTTGGAAGTATGGGATTGAATGACAGAAGCTTATTCCAAATCTGCACCCATTTATGATTTAAAATCAGTTCAAGAAGCAACATCTTGTGTCTGTAAATGGTCTAAGTAAAACCAGAATAAACCTGCTGTCAACACAACTCTACACACTGACAAGCATTGTTTTACCAACAGTCAGAGTCTAATGGCATATTGTGGCCAGGCTGTGGACAAGCTCAGCTCTGTCCCAAGGTACTGACTGTAGTGGATGAGCTGATCAATGTGAATCTCTGCAACCTTCACACAGACTCATCTGCTCAGCTACGGAATGGCTCAGTTCTCAGCTAGATTTATGGATGGCTTCATGGCCAAGCTGCAAAGTCAAAAAACAGCCGCTGTATGAGAATTGTACTCACTCCAACTGTGATGCTTTATTGCTCTATTGTTTGTTTTTTAGGATTTAAAGTGACAGATTTATAATCAAGTGGCTTTACAGCTTGGGCTAAGAGTACCGACTTAAAATCAACATTTTAAAGATTTAACATGTTTTACTTTTATTGCATCTGAACTCACAGGTGTACTGGACCTGTGTGGTGCAGAATGCCCAAGACCCTGGTTACACAATGTCCCAGCAGTTACTGAGCTTCGATTGAACCTTTTAATGCACTTGTTTTCTCCTCATTTCTTTGAAGGCACCTTTGTATTTTAACTTGTAAACAAGAATTATCAGTTACACTTTGGTCTTGAGTGCTGTTATTGTTCCTTGGCACATGGAACATTTGATGTAACCAGGATCTAGTGCAGAATCTCATATTCAGAAAACTGTCCTTACTATATTGTATGAACCCCAGACATTCAGCTCACTGCTACAGGCAATATTTAGGTTTTGATGAACAAATATGTGCTGATGAACACTTTATTTTGATAGCAGATTTGAAGAAATCCTAAATAACCAGCAAAAATGAGTTAAATTCAAACTGAACTGAATGTTTATTTAAATCATTCTTGTTGCTTAAATCCAAATATGCTATCAAGATAAAATGTTAGCAGTATGATCCTTTTTTGTGTTGATTCCTCAAATATAATGATTGGAGATTATTTCAGAGTAGCAGGAATATGAATGTATATGCCCAATATATGCATGTTTTCTAGAAAAAAATGCACGTGTTTGCATTGAGAGTGTCCACGCTGCTGTTTCGTGTCTGTGATTCAGTCACATTACGTTTGTACCTTCAGGCTCAGTGACATCGGTTCACTCTCAGCCATGCGAGAGCCGCTCTCTGCTGCAGGTACCAGACATTTCCCCTGTTCACCCTCGGTCTCCTCCGACGATCAGCCTTCCCCGCATTGCCCCGCCCACACCCAGTCCCTCCCCACGCGCCGTGCACAGACAGGTAACAGCTGTCTACATTCAAACACACACATATTAGTAGGTTAACGGGCACTTCGATGTGTTGACAGGAAGTGCTGTGGTGGTGTTTTGTTGCAGGTGACAGTTAAAGTGGATTTGGTGGAGTCCTCTCCCCATCTCCCCTGCCTCCTCCTCCTCCCTCCTCCCCCTCAGCCCTCTCCATCCCACCCTGCTCCCCCATCTTCCTTCCCCACTCTCCCTCTCCTCTGCCTTCTCCACCATCCTCGCCTTTATTTCTTCTCCCGCCTCCACCTCCCTCACCCCGTCTCCCCTTGCGCCCCCCCAGTCTTCGGAGACCTAGGCCGCCCTCTGCTGCCTCCCTCTGCGACCCGGCCGACGAGGAGGTGTATCACATAACCAGTTCAGCCTGCCGCAGGTGGGAAGATGTGGAGGGAGGACAGCAGGAGAGCAAAGGGAAGGGTAGCTGCAGCCACTCCCTCTCCCCTTACACATCCCCGTACACTCGAGACTCCCACTCCACCTCCTCCTCTCCTCTTCCCCCACTACCACCTTCCTCCTCAAAGAGCACGCTCAGTTTGCTGGGGTTGGGGCTGAAGGACTGTGACTTTAGGAAGGGCATTAGTGCAGACAACCAGGTCTTCCTGGACAAGTTGTCATCATTGTCTGCTTGTTACCCTGATGATCAGCGTCGCCATTCCATTGAGGTCTGCCTCCCACAGGCTGATATCACCAGTGATGAGCACCACTTTACACAGGAGTCCCACCGGTCAGAAAAGAGTGGTCCAGTGAGGGTGCAGTCAGTTGGGGGTGGTCACAGAAAGAAGAAGATGAGTCCTCCCTGTATATCCATCCACCCCCCCTCAGACAGGGAACAACCCCAAATCACCTCACCCCCAAAACTTGCTGATTGCAGCATGATGCTGAGACACAGGACGCCCTCCTATGACTTGACACCGCACTCACAGTCAAACACACAAGACGTCTTGGGAGATGCACAGCAGCTCTCTCCAGTGTACACAGTGCTAACACCGATCCCTGTACCGCTGCAAGCACACTCACCAACACACACACTGACACCCTCGCGGGCATCTACGCCGACACATACTCAGTCATACACTCCACCGCACCCATCCACACCTACACATCCGCACATCCCCATAAGCCCAAACATCTTTATCCAGCCTCATGCACCTCTTTTTCCAAATGCTATGCCTTTCTCACAGACACACTCCCTCTCCCCAGCTGCAAGGCATTCAACTCTCACAGGGGACTTCATTCCCCTGCCCCAGTTAACCTTTGACCAACCACAGTCCATATACATGGGTGGCCTGTCAGCTGGCCTATCAGACACTGATACAGCCACATGCTCTTCCCCTTTTGACAGCAGACTGGTAAGCGGTGCGGGATTCAATGCAAAGAACCGGAGGACCGCCCAGTGAACATTGAGCATTGCCTTCAGGAAGTCAGTTATTTGGTGCAAAATCTCTGAAGCTGGAGCAGCGTGTCCTCGGCCAACCTCGGCAGACACTGGTGCTGAGAAGAGGATGAAAGAGAAAAATTTAGTGGGAGATGGATTTGTTTCTGTTTTGATAAATACTAAAAAGACATTGATTACTCTTTCCAGAGAGGTGCTGGTACATTCCTGTCCCAGATTAAAAGACAATGGATCCATTTCCAGAACCCAGCTCATAGGACAGCAAATCCACCGAGGTAGTACCAGTCAAACAGTACTCACTGTACATGGTGTGTTTGGACTAATGCTAACAACACACTAGGACTAAAGCCACCTAAATCTGTAGCCAAAGTTTTTTTTGACACACTGTCCCCTGCCCATGCGAGCCAATCAGGAAGCAGCGTCTGGCTGATAACCTCTGACCTTCACAGGAAGTGGTTTGTGAAATGCGAGCATGGGGGAAATTGTGGGATATGCAACTTCAGGTTTTCTGCAGAGGTTCTGCTCACCCCTCCTCTGCTCTTCGATCACATTGATCAGAGCAGCAAAGCCTGTGTGAGGGAGCGTGTGCATTTTCATGTGTGCGAGTATCGTCAAATCTGCTGTCATGGAAGTTCGCCATGTTGTTCTTACACCCACAGTGACAGAGAGGGGGAGCAGGGCAGAGCTGTTGTGTATGTTTATCTGTGTATCTGTGCAGTGTAAATAAAGGAAAATACTGTATTTGGTGAGATTAAAATAGCTCTATCCATATGCACATATTTTTATAGAGATTAAAATGTTTTTGCACATAAATTTGGATTTAAATTTCAAGTTGCTTGTTTTTCCTCTGTTGTCCTCTTGTGAATGAATGTTTCTTTTCAAAACCGAGGGAGCAGCGGAGGAGATCAACGCTCCTCTCGTTAGAGCGGGCAGGATTTTATTTTTCTATCTTGAAAAAGAAAGAGGAGAACAGGGGTGTGATGTGTTTCTGTAGCTTTGTCTCAGATTTCTGTGTATGTGTATCCGGTGTCCAAATAACAGTCTCAAGTGGTGAGCTCAGTGATGCAAGCCAAATTCATTAAAGCCATTTGGCCACATAGGCTCTGCAGACAGTGCAGAGTTTAAATTTGTGTCTACATGCTGTGGGCTAACAGCTAAACCTGTGTGCTGTCTCTTCACAAATTTAAATCGAGATTTGGCCATTATTCCAAAAGAATCAAAAATGAGTTTTAGTGATGTTAAAAAAAAAAACAAAAACAATTTGCAGACAGCTAAATATGCAAAAAAAAAACAAAAAAGAGTTTTGAGGGTGAAAAAAAAAAAAAAAAAAAACAATTTGCAGACAGCTAAATATGCCCATAGGCTGCTGGCTATGAGACAGTATAACATCAGGAACAAAATCCAGCATTCTTTTCATTGAAGAAATGGTGACATGGCATCACTAAGCCTCTTTCCACAACTGTTTTCAAGCTGGATCAGCTCTGATACCACTTGGTGTTTATGTACATCTAAAGACAACCAAACTAATTTAACTTAAATGTGTAGCCAGAGTGCAATAATAATATATACTTGTGGGAAAATATAGTAACATCCTCACCACACTCTTGTGTTCATACATACTGTAGAAGTACTATATATGATATAGATCCATTTTATATGATGATTGAAAGTATTTCTATCTCCTTTGTTCATGCTACTATAGGTACTTGCCCACCGTGCGTGGCTGCAGTGGCATGGGTGTGGCTGGCATCAGTAGGTACTGTGTATTTCTCCAAAAGCTCAGGGCCCACCCACTGATTGGTGTTATTATAAGCAGGAGAGTGATGTGCATCTCTGCTGAGGGCTCGGTACGCCATTCACCCCTCTCCTTTTTTTTTTAATCCCTAACGTCAAACACACCACATCATGTCAGTTATGGTGCGTTATTATCCACAACTGAAATCATGCAAACGTCTGAGGTGTGGATGGCAAAGTATAGCAAGTGTTTTTCTTCCAGTGGCTGAATGTTTTCTTACCAAGCCATACATGTATTCCAGTACAGCACAATATGTATTTTGTTCTCTTTTGTGCACGGTTTGGTTTGGCACAGGCACATAGGAAGCATGCTTTTAAGCTACTTGGTTCTGATTTCCCTTTGCAAGGCAGCTGGCTGGGATGTTGTTTCTATTTTTTCTGATCAGCATGTAACATACACAAGTCCTATGTAGTCTGTGTGAAAACCAAAGTGCTATGATGCTGTATCATTATCACTATAGGTTTATTTTTTCATGTTTGTGCAATGGATAAAACAGTCTGTCCTTATAGGTATTGCCAACCAAACAATTAAATGGGCGGCAGGGGGTCTGCAGGTTGGTAATAAGTCAGAGGACAAAAGACTTTTCTATTTATTTTTCAGATACACAGTTGGTCTTACAGTAAATCCATCTGAAATCGGCATTAAAAGCCCAAAGGAGTTTGTGGATGAATGCAAAGATCATCCATGATAATGATTATCATCTTCAGATTATCATTCTCCTTCTACACTCTCATTAGCTTTACATCTCCCAAGCAGTGTGCATGTACAGAGCAAAATCTGAGATACAGAGCATAAGGAAAAAAAGCAAAAGAAATGAAAGAAACGATTGTACGTTGGCTTCGTTTTGCCACAGGCCCTGTTTGTACTACAGCGCAGGCCTGTGACTGTGTCCTTGCGTGGAGACACATTCAACAGTGGTGCTGCTGTGGGTTCAGGTGAAAGTGAAAAGCTCTTGGACAACGAAACCACACACTGAAAAACATTGCCACCGTTGAACACAGCTGTCAGCTTGTTCATCGTTTGATAGCACTCTTCTTCCAGTTCTAACATATAGAAGCACATCTGATGTTGGATTGTGACATGTTGAACAGCAAAGTTAACCATTGCCCTGGTTTATAATGGATTTTATACACTATATGCTTGGACACACTGTTAATGTGCAACTGCTTTGTCCTCTTTCATGTCCTCTACCTGCACCGATTGTCAGTAGTGGGAGGTTTTAAGTAGTTTGAAGACTGCCTCTTTCAGTCTCACTCTTACTTGACTTAGTGCAGACTGCCCCAGTCTACAGCATAATAATCAACACAGTTTGGTAGAGTGGTTGCATAGTTGTTCTTATGATATACTGATCTTTGGATCTCGGTATTTAAATCCTGTTTATGAGGAAAGTTTTGACTATTGCATGTTCTGATTTAGGAAAAACATTTTGGGGGGAAAATCTTCTGGATGTTCTCGAGATTTTGATATTTTCTTTTTCAGATGTTTCCATTTCTAGACCAACTACCTACTTGCACTAGGCTCTGATTAATGGGTATCTGATAAAATACAGATTGAAGTGACCCTAATCTTTATTGTCAAATGCAATGCTAGGTGGTTATTTGCTGTATGAGGACAGAGCTCCTCTTAATACAGTTTTATAGAGAGAACCTAGTTGGTTCTGTTTTGTTTGGAAACAGCGTTATTTAATGTTGAGGTGAACCTTTTCTCACTTACTCTAAACATGGTAGAACTCTGGTGATGGTGAAACTAATTAACCGATGTATATTTTATGTAGGAGTAGCTTCAAAGCTGATGCTCAAGGACATATCAGGATGGTTGTGTTTTCTGAGTTGACACTGAGCTGGTTCGGCCTCACAGCGAAGCCAGTCACACTCCTGACATGACACAAGTGTTACCACAACTCCAGATTACAGTAAGTTCAAACTGTGATAGAACCTGACTTTGGTGAATCAAAAGCCTTGTGTTTTCTTTCTTTTCTTTTTCTATAACCCTTCAGTGATTGACCCAAGCACCCCTACCCCTAAACCCCTGAAGCCTTACAAGCATGGGGGGAGGTGTGTTCTGTCTGTTAGAGGAGAGCCAACATGTCTGCAATAATAAGCCCTCCATTATTCCCCATAAAGAGAAGGGAGGGGACAGGGGAGGTACTTAAAGGCTCGACGCACAGTCGGACTCTGTATTGTTGCTGATTATTGTGTGATGACCAACTGTTGTCCTGGAGGATGTTTCCCTGTCAATTAAAAAAATACAAGATTTTTTTTAAACTTCCTGAGTCACTGTCTGCTTTGTTTCTTATGTTGATCAAATCACATCATGTTTTTTAAATACATTTAAAAACAATGCAAACCATGATAAAGTTTAGCATTGAATTTGGACATTTACAGTTAAATAAAGCCACTGGAGGCACAAATCCTTGCACGCTGCCTTTGTACTGACTGTTGTTAAATTTATAACATCCTGAGATACAGTAAGTGTTTTAAATACTTTAAATAAGTTTTGCTTACTCAAATAGTGCACGCTCATTCTAAACATAATCATTTCACACAACTTGACACCGTTAAGTTTGTTTGCTTAATATTTTTTCAAGTCATCACTTTCCTCAAATCTTTAAAGTAAACTTTACTTGTTAGAATTTAGTGTATAACTTATAACTCCTATAACTTTCACCAAAATGCCCAAATTGAGCATACTGCTTAAAAGAACGTTTAAAATGTAATGACAGTTCTGTTTCATAGTGCAAAGGAAATACCCACGTAACAAAACAGGCAAGAGCAACTTTGGCTCTGGAAACAAACTGTGCAGAAAGTCTTTTAAATGTTCTAATGTTAAATCAGCCAGTTTATCTATTCACTTCACACTAGATGGTGCTGTTGAATATGATATAACCAGTTGAAATACGGAGGGTAAACTCCACTGCTGAAGTGTTTTGTTTGCATGCCAACTGCGTGCATGTCCTTGTGTTAAGTGTGTTTGTTATAGAGGCATTACCAGCTGCAGTCTGTTCACATGAGAGGTAAAGGTCAAGATGAGAGATTCACAGAAACAATAAGAAGCACCTCAGCCCTCAAGCAGCAGTGCCTGCTAACAGTGTTTATTTAAGCCTTTGGTTAATGGATTTACTACAAATTCCATTTTAATTTATCACCCATTTGATCAGCCTTAGGCTTTTTTGCTTCTTGATGTGTTAGCTGCTCTGCATGTGTTATTGAAATTAGCTGGTCAAAGCCACATTCAAAGACCAACTTTGCCTGTGACCATTAAAGAAATATCTTTGTGTTTGAAAAACCAGCCTTGCAGATGGACTCACACCCATCTCTCTAAGTCCCCATACCTCTCTAGTTTTCAAACCAGCCAGTCGCCTGGTGCCAGTCTTCTGTCAGCCAGCCAGGTTCTCTATCTATATGGTGCCGTGACACATTCACTATCAGCATTTAATTTGATAACCACATTTGGCTGCTCATACCATTTCCTTAAAGGCTTCCTCCTTTAGCACCTGCATAGGTTTAGTGTGAAGCAGTTTTGTAGGGTGGTGATATAATAGGTTTGTCTGTTGAAGCAGTAGTTATAAAGGCAAAAAAGAAACTCTGCATCCAGAACAGCAGCAGGTGAGCCTCAACTGGAAAGTCAGATGAGTTTAGACACCCGCTGCAGTGGGCAGCTGCTAATCTAATCTATTCTGAAGGTGAGGGACCGATCCTTCTGTGTCGTCAGACAGAAATAGACACATTGTGTGTGAGCATGTTCAGAATCACAACCTGTGGTCTCTAGTTCACACTAGTCCGAGGGGGGGGGATGAAGAATTTCTTTCTATTATCACATTACTGAATCTGGAAAGCCACACAAAGTTCTGAATTATACTCTCAATAAAAAGATTAGGAAATGTAAGGGAAACTAATTGATCTCCATTTGTTATGTTGCCATGGTGTGTGTGTGTGTGTGTGTGTGTGTGTGTGGCCTTGTTTTTCTGTACTTGTGCAGCCCAAAATCTATGAATTACTATTTTTGTGTCCCCACAACATAGTTTGTCGAATTTTCCAAAAACGATGGGCTGTACGATTAGAGCAAGTGTCTGCTTTGGTTAAGGTTTGGGTAGGTCTGCTGGAAATGAAGGTAAGTTTATGTAGGGACCCGGTAAGTGACAAAAACAAGGATGTGTGTGTGTGTGAGAGTGTTTTTCACACCCCTTGCTGCCATCCTTCACCCCACCCCTACACAGACAGCCCAGGATGTCTACCTCCTCGTACACACACTCAGTCCAGCTCGTTCACTGCTCTGATTGTCCAGCTTCGTCCGTTCGTAGCTGGAGTCAGAACCAAAAGTTATACAAACCAGACTTTTGATGATCAGCACTGGAAATTGAATATTTTTCCACGATGGTTCAAGAGGATCCCTGTTATAGAAGTGAAGGCCAACTGCAGTACTGAGTACTGGACGTGCAGGCCAACCCCCCGATACAACGCACTGAAATGCAGACAGCTCTGAGGATACTTGTGGACAGGAGTAGAGCCCATGTAGAACCAGAAACAGAAGTAAAGCAGGGGAACCAGAGTTCGGTTGTTGTATCTCTGCTTGAAAAAAATAATAGCTTGTGTTTGATGAGTCAGTAATATCCAGTGCTGCGAATCTACAGTATTTTGACAACTCCAGGTACAAGCAGAGGAGCAGATGTTTTTGTCCTGGCACCACAGGGGCCAACACATATGCTTCCACAGTTTCGTCAGTTCATAAAATATGTTCTCCTTATAATAGTTCTGCTGTTGGAAAAGGTCAGAACTTCATTTATCCCATTGCAGATCATTTGAGTTCCACTGTAATGTTCTACTGTTTATGTTAGTTTTAATAATAATAAGGATAATCACCTTTATTGGCCAAGTATGTTACACACACAAGGAATTTGTTTCCGGTACAGAACTGTTTTGTGGATTTTGGCAAACGTTGTGACTGTTACACTTGTAATCTTGGATCTTACTGCATGGATTATGAGAGCTGCATTAGCGTTTTGGCATTTTGTCAAATGCATTTAGGTTAGGCACTGGACTCCAATAAGGATGTGCCATGCTGCCATTCCTGACTGTGACTTTCATGTACAAGAAGGTGCAGCCAAGCTGTCTGGAAAGTGTCCAGTATGAAGGCTCCAGGGTGCCATCTGGCATTGTCCTTCTGGCTTCAGTGGAACGTGACCACTGATTTGCACAGGAACAGTTTGCAGCAGAGTGTGTAACAGTAAGACTGAGAAAGCACCTTCACACCAGGTATAAACAGGAATGTCCACATCCACCTACAGTGACATGACTGGGAATTATGTGCTGGGCCCTACGTTGCGGGCCCTACATTGCACCCCAGAATTCATGGGTACATAGTCTTCAGATTTCATAATGCCATGCACGCAGAAAAGACATCCTGGGCCTGAAGCAGCAAAGCAGCCCCAAAATATCAGTGAACCTCCACTCCTTCTTACATGCACACTATATTTTATCATTGATGGTATCATAATAATCCTTCTGTAGGGGGACACTCTAATCTTTTGGTGATAGCTAGTTATGAGTTCCTAGTGACCTGCATGAGCCTTGTGACATTTTGTGCCATTTGTATCACAGCCTTGCTACTTACAGGTTTGCTGTGGAATTTGTTGGCGTATATAGCCTGTCCTTGTAGGACTACTAGACGTCTTTCTTGTACATTAACAGGGTCACTGCTAGATTGAAACTTCTTTGTTTCTTATTCTCAGATGAAAGTGTGTCTGCATGATGCATCACTACTCCATAATGAATCTTAAAATGATCAGGCTCAGTGACCCTGAAGAAGGTAAGAAGATGAAGGTATGATGAGAGTTTACTCAAAAAACAAACAAACAACAACAGTTCAAACAAAGGTCACCCAAAGGTCACCTCGGGAGCACAGAGTTGGTGGCTCTTAAATGACAGAAGAGTTAGAGAGGGGTGGATGGGAAGGAAAAAGTGTCAGATCAGGGCCAGACATCAGCTGAAAAGTGGGCGAGGGGAGATGAGTTGACAGGGAATGGCAGGAACACTGGGGTAACTGCAGGTTAGGGAGGAGTGGCTGACTCAGTAATGACAGAGGAGTTAGAGATGGAGCAAAAACAGGAAGCCGTAAATACCAGAATGAATAGAATTATGACTAAAATAGTGGTTGGACATGTAGCACATCCACACACTGAAAAATAGCCCCAAACACAACATACACACTTACACGCGCACTCTACTCTGCATCTTTCCAGATAGTTATTTGCTCAGTCGGGTGTGAATTGTGACTGTATACTCATTTGTGAATCCTGTTTTACTGCCTGTAACACCAACTCCATGCACCTCTTATCAGAGAGAAAAGGCAAGTGGAGAGATGATACAGAGACGTGGAAATTCAAATGACAGTTCCCAACTCACTGAGAAGTAGAGATCTGTTAAGTCTGAACCTACTAAGGTGCTAAGTGATAGATAGATAGACAGACAGATAGATAGATAGATGCAAAAATTATAAAAGCTCATTTAATAATCCTCAGTTAGTGACTTGAGCAAATTGTTGACAGGAAGTATGTAATGTTTGAAAATAGGCCGTTGAGGTCCAACAACATGTATATTAGCTGCTGTACAACACTTTTTCACACCACTGTATATTAGCTGCTGTATGGATTCAGCATTTAAACAGAGACTGACAGTCTCCACCCTGCTGCATATTCTAACTTTATGGGCAACAACATGGCGAACTGAGCAGCATTCACGGAGCATTTCCTCTTAGCAGAGGAACTCCAAGTTATACTGCTACACAACCTGGACAACTGTCCACTAAGTTTGCAAACTAAACAATAATGACCTTCTACAGACAACAACGCAGAAAACTTTGGTTGAACTCGACAGGTAGGCCACATATCCTCCTGCAGGTTTAGTGATGTGGACATTTTAGTAGCAGGACGCCGTGAAACATGAACTGAATCAGGAATCCTGGTTTATTTGGTTCAGTTGCCTGTCGTGTTTTGAAACTGTTCTTATTTAGCAGATTGGTGTGGCTTCACATTCACCAGCTGCTGTTGTATACCCACGTTTTAACCAGCTAATCCAACCTTGTGGCTGATGGTGGAACTGTTGACTTTCACTTGCCATTTAATGTTTTAATATTCCATTTATTTGCGCCACTGGTTGGCGTATTTTTAGAGATTCTGGTTTGCTGTTTTCCGGTTGGGTTGTAAACATCTCAAAAGGAATGAATGGCAGTGTCAGAGAGATGTGTTCTTTGCAAACAGTAAGAACGGGGATGGTGATCTCTCTGAGAACATTTTCTGAATCGTTTCTAATTTAGCTCAACTTTGCCTGTATACGTCTGTCTGAGCCATAAGGAGCTTTAGCGCAGAGAGCAGGGGGAGAGAGGGAGCGGACAGTCCGTCCATCCAGCCACTGCAGAACCACGCAGATAAGCATAGACAAAACGGGGAAATTACATGCACATGCAGCACACCCGTACACTCTGTCACACATACACGTGTTCGACCAGAGAGAGAGACGTTGGGAGCGGGTCTTCAGCACGGTTTGAAGGCTACCGGAGCCTCTAATATAGAAGTGAATGCGCGTGTGCGTCCCGCGGCTGCGCCTGCTTCTTCCCTGTTCTGCGCTCCTCTCCTCGCCCGGGACAGGAATAACTGGATACCGGGAGCTGTAATCATACAGAGGCAGGTTGAGCCCCCAGAATGCGCGGGGCCAGCAGAGATTGCAGTGGAGCGTCAGCGGTAGGCGCACACACAAGGAAGACTGGATTACAACAGTGATTTTATTCGCAGCTTGCGCGTTTGAGATTTGCTAAAACGGGGGATTTTGCTCAGTTTTTGGGCACAGTGGGAATAATTCATTGCCACAGATTCGGTGTTTTTTTTTCTCCTGTTGTGCAGTGTTTGTGAGAGTGATCACCATCAGAGGCTGCATGGTTTCTCACAGGAGAGAGGGGACTGTTGCAATGTCATCTCGCACCACTGTTTTGGAGCTCTGTGGAAGGGAGATGCTGTAAGTACTTTGCAATGTGTGACATTTTTCTTTGAATTTGGGGTGTGATGATCACGCACCGTCTGTGTCTCTCTCCACTTTCCCTTGATCAGCGGGAGCCGTGCGGGTTTTACTCAGAGGAGTCCCTTATCCAAAGTGCGGCACCCACACCACAGAGAGCACAGCTGCCCCTAAAACAATCAGCTGAAATTTAGACGATGCGAAGCTCGTTGTATACAGTGCAAACAGACAAACAGGCTAAACAAGCTCTCCTCTCTCAGCTCAGGCGTTATAATTTCATCATAATTCACGATGCTGGCGCAGTGAGCGGAGCGCAGGCTGCTTCAACGCGTATCCAGCATCTTTCATCTGGCCAAAACAAACTGAACGCATTGATTCCTTTGACACACATTAGTGTTAGCTATAAACTGACTGTACAGGTGAGCTACGGAGAGACGTGCAGTCTTTGACAGTTCAACATCTCCCTGTT